GAAATGTATATGTTACGTCAATTTTATTTTACAAGAATGAAGTATCAAATCATCTTGAATTCATATAAAATTTTGTATATATGATCTAAGAGTAAAAAACTTTCAATCTAACGGTTGAATTTATAAAATTCACATTTAATATAAAGTTATTGAGCGATGTAATACTTAGTAAAAGTTATACCGATGTTATTATAACCCTTCTCTTTTAAAATATTATTTTTATAAATTAAATTTTAACATTTTAAATAAATTATTAATTAACTTAATATATTTATTCATCTTAAATCTAAGATATAAAATTCAAAAAATTTATTTATCCTTGTTTTATTTTCTAATTATCAACCATTAATAAAATACTAATTTAAAATCTTATCTAGTTATATCATAATATTTTCATATCAAGTTTAAAATCAGATATTAGTTATACAAAAATATTAAAATCATATAGTAAATTATTAATAAGATTCTAGTTAAATAATTTAAAATAATAAATTTTATCACACAACAATAAAGAAATACTAATAGTTAAGAAAATACATTTGTACTCTTCCTATTAGAAAAAAAGATAATGTTATAATTCTTTTTTTTTCTTAAGATATCACATCTCTTCTATCAATAAAATTTAAATATAAAAATTTATTTAAAAATAATTATCATAAGTTAGAAATATATATTATAAATATGGATCAAAATAAATAAGAAATTTTAAAATTCATATACTCTAATTAAAAAACTGCCTAAAAACCCAATTGTAAAAAAAACCTCTATATATTTTTTCACATAAATAACTATTGGTATTTATGTAAGAGTGCTTATAAATAATTTTTATTATAAATTAATGTATTGCTCTTACAAAAAAAGAAAATGGGATTAATACTCAACAACAATATTATCATCACTTTTAAGCAATTTATAAATTTTATTAAGTTTTACTTAGTGACTGAATTTTGTCGCTAATTTTAACTAATATTTAGCGACCGAATAGAATTTCGTTGCTAATTTTAATAAATATTTAGCGACTGAATAAAATTATATCACTAATTGTAACTAATATTTAGCAATCAAATTTAATTTCATCGCTAAAAAAATTAAAATTTCTTATTTAGATACCGAATTCAATTCCGTCGCTAATTTTTACTAATATTTAGCGACCGAATTAAATTCCATCGCTAAATTTAATTACTATTTAGTGACCAAATTCAATTCCGTCGCTAATTTTAACTAATATTTAGGGATCGAATTCAATTCCGTCGCTAAAAAAATCAAAATTTTTAATTTAGCGACCGAATTCAATTTTGTCGCTAATTTTAACTAATTCTTAGCGACTGAATTCAATTTTGTCGCTAATTTTAACTAATATTTGGTGATCGAATTTAATTCCGTCGCTAAAAATATCAAAATTTCTTATTTAGCGACCGAATTCAATTCTGTCACTAAATTTAACTATTATTTAGCGACCGAATTAAATTTCGTCGCTAAAATAAATCAAAATTTATAATTTAGCGACCAAATAGCAATTGAATTTAATTTCTTCGCTAAAAAAATCAAAATTTCTTATTTAGCGATCGATTTTCTAGTGACGACTTATTTTGGTCGCTAAATCGGTCGCTATTTTGATTATTTATAATCGTTCGCTAAATCAGTCACTAAATAGCAACTAATAAATTTCGGTCACTAATTTCGGTCGCTATTTTTCAATTTTCTAGTAGTGAATTATATGCATTTGTGATTGAAGAAGTAAAGTTTTCTCTCGTGAGCAATGCATTATGGTATAATGCATTATCATAAGTAATGTATTTAAAATCAAATGAGTCATTGAATTGATTAAGGCACTAGTTCAAGGTTTAATGATTTAATCATGATTAAATAATGGTTGACCTAGTATTAATAAAATAATAATAATATTTTAAAAAATACATAAAATATTATTACATAAACATAATATCATAATTTTATAAAACTAAAATTAAAAGAAAATATCATTTTATATATTTTTATTTTTAAAGTGCATGTAAAAGTCTAAATATAATATTTAAGTTTAAATTTTAATAAAATATAACAATTTGATGTTTGCAGTAGAAAAATTTTAGTACAATTTTTATATAAAGAAATATAAATGACTAAATTATATCATTATAAAAAAATTGTTAAAAATAATAAAATAAAATTATTTATTTTAATTTATGGTTTTTATTAAATATATTTATTTATTTCTCATAAAAAATATTTTTAAAAATTTGGAAAACAAAAAAAAAGTTAAAAAGACCGATTCAACTCAATTTTTCGGATTGGTTTTTAATCAATTTTGAGTCAATTCATCTGATTTTTTTTAATTTTTTTACACACCGGTTTCATAGTTCTTCCCAATTGGTAGATTAACCAATCTTTGTTGGATTGGTCGAACTAACTTGTCCTATCTAGTCCTAACAATACATATTAGAAGCAAAGTTTCCTCATGTGAGTACAGCCATTATACTAATAGGTAATGCATTATGGTAACACATTATATGTGAAAATCACCATATTCGAATATGATAGAATAAGTAATGCATTATATTCATACATAAAGACAGACATAAATAAAGAAAGAAGAGCAAAATAATAATTATATATTATTTATTTGTAGATAAAAATTTAACTACATAAAATATAGTTTTAAAATATTAACTTCCTTTTATTTCTCGTCTAATTCTACTATATTAATCAACTATAAATTTTATTTTATTTCCTACTTATTTCGTATCAAATAAATTCTGACTTATTTTCTCATTTTCTTTTCAATTCCCCCCCTCCCCAAGAAGCACATGCATAAAAGTGAAAGAAACTATGGGAGAAAATTCATAGAATAATGCTAAGATTTACTTTCATTTTCAAGCAAACCAGCCATCGATGTTGACTGTCATAGTTAATGACCTTATCATATTTCTCTATATCCTATCTTCATATTTGTTGGCACATAGATATGACAAAAGTTGTTGAGTGGTGAGATTTTTTTTTTTTTTCCTGAGAAATTTGATTTTCATCCTTTGATATTTTTGAAAAATGTCAAGAATTTAATTTAAAAATAAAAAAATAAGATAAATTAATAAGATAAACAATCAAGAAAATCAAACATATGATAGCGAGAACAAATTTTAAATATATTCTCGTTTAAGTTTAACACCTAATGTTATTTCATTGAAAAATAAACCTTAAAAAAGTTCTAGCTAGTTCGGTATATGAAATCGACGAATCATTTTATTTAATCTAGTAAAAAACGGCATTATATACCTCCACTAGTAAAGAGAGAATAACAAATTTGTTCTGTTAATTTATACCGCACTAGTACAAAAATAACTTTTAAAATCGGGGTTTTAAAATCGGTTATAAGGTAACCGATTTTAAAAGTGATACGGTGGCAATTTCGTAAATAATGACATTACTTTTAAAATCGGCTACTGAAGACCGATTTTAAAAGTCCACTTTTAAAATCAGTTTCCAATAGTCGATTTCAAAAGTGGAACTTTTAAAATCGGTTTTTGAATAACCTCTTGAAAAAATTGAACAGGGGGTAGACTTGGTGAAAAGATAAAGAAAGGTAGATGAAAGAATGCAAAGGGACAATAAAACTTCTAAAACGTTAGAACTAGGAACTAGAAAACATTTTCTTTTTAACAAAATTCAGTCAAAATGGTTTTATATAAAATTCATTTAAAAATTATTTCAATCCACTATTATCCAAGCAAGTATTCAAATTTAAGTTTAAAATGGAAAAATCAGGAACAATCACTCGCAAATGGATCTTCTTTATTACGCCTATATATATTTTTTATTATTATTAAAAGCGCAAAGCACAAATAAAGCTTGTGCTTCCTGCTTTCTTACAACCTTTAAATTACACTTTTCAATTCATTTGAGAATACTAACGAGAAAAAGAGAGACCTTTCACTTGGAGCATCAATCATAATGGCTGTCAAAATTTATGTTGTACGTGTATGCTCTTTTTAAACCTTTATTGTCTTCACTAATCGAACATTGACTTTCTTGTCCTTTTTTCTATATTCATTTTGGGCACCTTATTCTTTCTTCTTTGCATGGATTGGTGCATGCTCTGCATGGAATAATTAACTTCTTTCCCTGGATTTCTTTTACGTCTTCAATAGGTTCTTTTAACTTGAAGCTTTCAAATGCCAATGTTCTTTGAGGTTCCCTCTAAATGTTACATATAGTGATATAGAAAAAGTGTCACTGTAAGTATAATATATATAGGTATATATCTATTTGGCATATAACTACACACAATTTTAGTATTAATTTTGAATGAGATTTAACAATATATTTTGTGTGTCACTATAGCTTATACCCACACTTTTTAACAATATACCAACATATATTATATTTATTGCGTAAGTAAAAGTAGTTTTTAGTGACATATATTGTGTCACTATAGAATGTGTGTCACTATATGACAATTTTCTCGTAGTAGTTCTTGGAGCTGTCTAACTCTCTCAATCTAGGACATGATGCATTTTTGCTGGGGAATGTTTCATTTTTAATAAGCGGGAATGTTTCTTTCATATATAATCAATTACACGCAGATTCCTCAGACAATTAATGAACCATGCAACAATAACCGTATCTAAAATGGAAAAAGAGAGAGACAAAATAAAAGAAAAAAAAGATAGATGGTTGAGATAAAAAGTGCGAGATCATGTGAGGTACATTTTCTGAGTAACAGACTAAAAGATGTCTAATTTTCTGTTTGTAAAACATTTTCTACTATAAATTTTACGTGACCTTGATATTCGCCTCATCTTTTTCTTTTAATTCTTAATTTGCAAAAACATGAACCAGTTGTTGCACATGTGAGTACAAAAGGTTCATGTGTAGCTACAAATCCCTCTACTTCTGCCACTAACCATGGTACATCTAATAAGTGTGAGTTATTCATTGATGGATCACCCGATCTTGTGGGCATAGGGAGGATTCACATGTTGGGGTCTGTTGTGCACCATCAGACCATGGGAAATGATATGGTAAGGGTTTCAGTGTTGGATGTTAGAAACCCAAAGGCTAGAGCTCCTGTGCCCACACAAGAGGTTCAGACGATGGAACAAGCCCTAAATACCTTCCTTCAATGGCCTTATAAGTTGGTAAAAGTGATATCTACGGAGGTAAGTTATTTAACTATTTAATTTTAACTTGGTGTTATTTTATTATAATGTAGTATAACATTATTTGTGTACTTTATTTAATAGGATGTTGTTGCCCCACCAAAGGCTATGCTTAACCATTCTAGAAATCTAACTCCGATGAAAAAGCTATGGAGATTGGTTGCAGATATGGAAGATGACAATCGACCCAAACAGGTCCCTTGGGCTCCTGAAGTGTTTGGCTTTTGTAGTAATGTCCCCTTGTATATAAGCCAGAGCGACATATCAGAGATTACAAACGGGCACTGCATGCTGAACATATCAATTTTGCAATTGTGGTTATTGTAAGTATTTGAATTAATTTTAATTATGTTTTGTTGCTTTTTTCTAACTTTATTTCTAACCTTGTAGATTTATCCATAAATTGAGTGTGGATAAAGGGAATGATCACATTTATGGATTTTTGGAACCCGAGTTAATCCAAAAAATTGGGAACAAGACAGAAGAAATTCAAGCTTACATCCAAAATTGGATGTCTGAATCAAATAAAAAAGTTTACTTAGTTCCTTACTTTTCTAAGTAAGTATATTTGTATATAATTGATTATAAATTTTTAAAAAATGTATTGTCTATTACTGATAGTTTCTCAATGCAGTGCTCATTGGCAACTTCTGATTATTTGTCCTATGGACAATATATCTGTATGCATTTGTTCGATGCACAAACCTCCTCCTGCAGATTTTAAACAATTATTAGATAAGTAAGTTGTTTTAAAAAAACTACTTTATTTTATTTATCATTACATTTTATTTTAAAATATAATAATGATGTCCTTTTATCATTAGGGCTATGGAAGGATACCATATGCTTAAAGGTTCAAAGTTGAAGAAAAAAATGCTTTGGGTCTCTCTTAAAGTAAGTTATTTTAGTAATGATATTTTTTCTAAGGTATTTTCTTTTGAATTATCATTACTACTAAAATTGGTTTTTATATTCTTTTTGTAGTCTCATAAGCAAAAAGGAAACTATGAGTGCGGATACTATGTAATGAAGGCAATGCATACTATTGTTGATTCACAAATAGTATCTGGGTGGACTGAAGTACGTTTTAGAATTTTAAAATTTTTTATTTTAAGTTTGCATTTTATCATGTTTTAAGAGTTACTTCTAATTGTTCTAAATTTTCTTAACAGATATTTATAGATCGATCACCATTGCCGCTAGAAGATATAAACACCATTAGGGAGCAATGGGCTACATTTTTCATTGAAACATTGGCTAGCTACGAATCATGTTTATAGTTTTACTCATTTTGTAATTTAGGATGCATCATAATTTGTAAGTTACTTTGATTAAATATATGGTTGACATTTATCAACTCTTGTCATTTGTATGTAATTTGGTCTATTAAAAACATATGAATTGTCTGGTATTTTATTAATTTGCAGGTTTTGTTCAGGGATCCTCCTTAAATAAGTCAAATATTTAAAAAAAAATTAACCACTTTTAACATCGGTCATGCCATAACCGATGTTAAAAGTGGGACTTTTAAAATCGGTCAACGACCGATGTTAAAAGTCCCACTTTTTAAAATCGGCTCTTTTAAAATCGGTTCGAGAACTGATTTTAAAAGTAAAAAATAACCGATTTTAAAAGTTCTTAAAAATTATATATAATTATTAAAGATAAAATAAATAAAAAAACATAAAAGTGGGATACTAAACGAAGAAATTTCTTTTATTATTAATAAAGATGAAAAGATAAGGTTAGGTTTAGAAAACACAAAGCCAACCCCCAAAATAATAATATATAGCCACAGAAATTGACTTGTTTTAACTTATGTGTAAGCTGCTTCCCCATTTCCTGGAGTTTCTCTTTTATTTCCTATCATATTGAGCAAAAATTATTTCCTCGCAACTGCCAACAAATCTTTTTCTTTATTATTTCTCTGATATACTTGGTCAAAATTTAAAAGGGTAGTTGATTTTTCTTTATGTGAACACAATCAAAAGGGAAGAAATTAATAAAATATTGTTAGGGATGGTTCATGGTTGCTTGTTTAAAAAACAAGAAACTTCATGCATAGGCAAATATGCAGTAATTGGTTAAAAATATCGCTAGCGTGTGGTTCAGCGATAAGGGTTGATCCACGTTTAAACAAGGTTAGGGGTTTGAATCTTGCCTTGTGTATGCAGTCGTGTTAAATCTTGGGACCAGCTATCCCACCTTTTAAAGTGTCTCCAACATAGCGAGGAGATTAGTTACTGCTATCGGTGGTGGATACCCCAGGAACGAACCCAAAAAAAGTTTAGTCGTTTTTCAAATAATTTGATATGCAAGATAGCTAAAATAGAATGTTCCATCTTTGTCATCAAAGTCAAAGTCTATGTGCATCTTGTAAATAAGCAATGCTAGTTCTTCAAACGTTGAGGAACTTCATTTCTTTTAATTTTTTTTATTTCAAATTTTAGTGGCTTAATTTAAGCTCCATACCCATTAGGCTAAAATTTCCTGTCTCAATATTATTCAAAAATATTATTAATTATTTTTTAAAAGTCACAGAGTTTTTTTTTTTATTTTTTTATTTTATGGTTTACCAAAAGATATTTCTGGACCGACAAGTGAAAAATAAATTTCTTTCTAAATATAGAAATCAGTAAATGGTCATGAAAAGGAACCTAACACACTTAAAGAACCTATCTGTATGTCTGCTGTACATGTCGGACCTTATTAGTATGAATTCTTGTTTTATAGTGTAACTAATAAGATGAATAAATAATTCTTCCTCTTAACATTCATGTTTACTGACAAGTCTACAGAGGTCATTGTCATTGCTAATAGAATTTTCCACAAAAATTTTGTAAAGTCATTAAACATGATTGCACCGATGAAAACAAAAAAAAAAAGCCATCAAATGTGATTGTCATCAATGTCTCCAATTCCTCTCTTTATTCACAATAAATCTTTGCTTGCTTCAGCCAGTGGCCACAAAATCAATTAAATGTCAACAGGGCAACGCAAAATTCCACCCATTATTGATATTATACATATTTTCATGTTCTTTTCTCTGTGTGACAAAATTCTTATTCTAAAATAGTCATCCACTAACTCTATACGTATGAAACCAAACAAACAATTTTTGTCACACTTTGATTCTTTGATTCTTCAGAGCCATTTTTCCAAACATCTAACTTCAATATTGCAAGCTTACGCTCACATTCGTTGCTTGCATTACCTCTATTCATAGATATGGTCGAGCAATTGTAACCTGCATGAGAAAAGTTCTATGGATATTCTTTCTTCATTGATCATTGTAGCTTGTATACTTATCCCTTCTCTCAAAGTCTCCATAGCAGGTGATACCATAGTTCTGTCCCAGTCCATTAGTGATGGCATGACCTTGGTTTCCCAAGGTGGAAAATTTGAACTTGGTTTCTTCAGTCCTGGGAACTCCAACAATCGTTACCTTGGAATTTGGTACAAGAATATCCCACAGACAGTTGTTTGGGTTGCAAATGGAGCCATCAATGATTCTTCAGGCATCTTAATAGTGAACAACACAGGCAACCTTGTCCTCAGACAGCATGATAAGCTTGTTTGGTACACAACATCCGAAAAAAAAGCACAGAATCCAGTGGCACAGCTTCTGGATTCAGGGAACTTTGTGGTAAGAGAAAAGAGTGAAACAAACTCAGAAGACTATTTGTGGCAAAGCTTTGACTACCCTTCAGATACAATACTTCCAGGGATGAAGTTGGGATGGAACCTCAGAGCAGGTAGGGAATGGAGAATGACATCCTGGAAGAGTCCTAATGATCCATCACCTGGAGACTTCTATTGGGGTTTATTGCTCTATAATTATCCTGAGTTTTATCTGATGAAGGGAACAGAGAAGTTTGTGAGAGTTGGACCATGGAATGGCTTACATTTCAGTGGTATACCAGATCAAAAGCCAAACACCATTTATGCTTACAACTTCATATCCAACAAGGATGAGATGTACTACACTTATAGCATGGAGAATGATGCTGTGATCTCAAGAATGATAATGAATCAAACTTCTTCTATGTATTTTCGATACGTATGGATAGAGGATGCACAAAATTGGAAGTTGTACAAATCACTGCCAAAAGACAACTGTGACAATTATGGCATATGTGGAGCTTATGGAACTTGCGTAATTACAGGCTCCCAAATATGTCAATGCTTAGCAGGGTTCAGTCCCAAGTCACCAAAAGCATGGAACTCATCTGACTGGAGGGAAGGATGTGTACGGAATAAGCCATTAAACTGCACTGAGAAGCTCAAGGATGGATTTATGAAAGTTGAAGGTCTTAAAGTGCCAGATACTACGCATACTTGGGTAGATCAGACAATAGGTCTGAAAGAGTGCAGAGTCAAGTGCTTGAATAACTGTTCTTGTATGGCCTATACTAATTCAGACATAAGAGGTGAAGGTAGTGGTTGTGTCATGTGGTTTGGCGATCTAAATGACATTAGGCAGTTTGACAATGATGGGCAGGATCTGTATATTCGAATGGATGCTTCAGAATTAGGTATAGACAAGGATTTATAATTTCATTCAACTTTTCATCATACATGTGCAGACATACAAATTATCAGTATTCTTATTTGTTTGTATATTTGCTTTTATCAAATTCAACTACCAAGGAGAACAAGAAGGGAACAAAAAGGAGGTGATAATAATTGTTGCTACTACCATTGCTATAATTTTTGGGATGCTTTCTATTGGTTGTTATTGTATCTGCGCCGCTCGGCACAGCATAACAGGTAAGAATACATTTCTCAGGATCGATGGTGTATTGAATAGAAAATTCCTTAGAAACTAACCTGGCAATTACATATTCTTCCAAATGATTATACCCTTTAATTTGTTTAATCGTGTATTCACATTAAATACAAGAAGATGAAGAAATTATTGGAAAACAAGTGTTGTGTTGGTTCACACAATCAAGTTCATTCATGGTAAAAAAATAGGTTAACCAACTAAATTTCTTTAAGGATGCAAAACTTGGAGCATAGAAGAGTGTCTTAAAGTATTTTGTTACATACCATGATAGTTCTCAGTCATCCTCTACATGCTTGATGTGTCGTTCGGGTAGTTGGGCAGGGATAACCCATTTTTATGCTCTGCCCTAGACTCTTAGTTAGCTACGGCTTTCTGGTTTTATTGTATAACTATTGTAATTTCATTTTTCCTTGCAACAATTTATCTATCATTCCCTAAGTTAAGGTGTAAAAAATGTGTAAACTACAAGGGGGAATTTCGAATATTAATCTATTCAACCAGTTGATAAAAACTGCAAAGATGTAATGCTGCAAATACACACCTGCGTAATTAAGGTACTTCATGCCTCCGTGTAGATTTTGAAAAATAAAATAAAACAAAAGTAGGAGGTTAAAAATAAGAGAGTGTGAACATATTTTGGATAGTTATAATTACAAGGGTAACGTTTGAAAAAAATGGTGGTGAAAGAGAATAATTTGAGAGGCAATTTTAGGAACAAAATTGTATTAAAAAAAAAGAAAAAGAATATAGATTATGCCTTTAACTAAATTGAAGCTATTGTTCCATTTTATCAGAATCTTCTGATATTATACTTGGAGAATATAGGGGAGGTAGTGAGGATGATCTCGATCTCCCATTAGTTGATTTTTCAATAATAGTCACTGCCACAGAAAACTTCTCAATAAAGAACAAGATTGGAGAAGGAGGTTTTGGACCAGTATACAAGGTGATTCAATCATTTTTGTGTTTCTATGAAAGAGATCTCAGAAAGTGTCAATGTAATCAAGATTATCTCAATTTATTTATTTGTTTTATTATATAGGGAAGATTAGTAAGTGGACAAGAGATTGCTGTTAAGAGGCTTTCAAGAACATCTGGACAAGGAATGAGAGAGTTCAAGAATGAAGTAAAACTGATAGCAAAACTTCAGCACCGAAATCTCGTCAAGCTTCTTGCTTGTTGCGTTCAAGAACAAGATAGAATGCTGGTTTACGAGTACATGACTAACCGTAGCTTGGATTGGTTGATTTTTGGTATGAACATTACAAGATTGCTTATCGTGGACTACTTCTTTGATTTCAGTATCATCTATAGAGGTTATTAAACCTGAATTTTGAAATTTAGAATGAAAATGTTGAGAATAAATTTATTTCATATGAAACAGATGATACTAAAAGCAAACTGCTAGATTGGCCTAAGCGCTTCAACATTATTTGTGGAATTGCTCGAGGTCTTCTTTATCTTCATCAAGATTCTAGATTGAGAATAATTCATAGAGACCTAAAAGCAAGTAATGTTTTGCTTGATGCTCAGCTAAATCCAAAAATATCAGATTTTGGCATTGCTAAAATGTTTGGAGGAGATCAAACAGAAGGAAATACAAAGCGAGTAGTTGGAACTTAGTGAGTATTACCTCAATATCAATCTGTGTGAATGTTTGGTGACATTTTTAACATTTTTTTTTTTGTTTTTATGATATGTTGCAGTGGCTATATGGCACCAGAATACGCAGCTGATGGTCATTTTTCTGTGAAATCGGATGTTTTTAGTTTTGGTATTTTGTTGCTAGAGATTATAAGTGGAAAAAGAAGTAGAGGATTTTATATTGAAAACCACTCTCCTAACCTTGTCACTCATGTAAGTATGTCTCAAAATTTTCAATTTCTTAACTAAATTTAATTCATCTGTAATCCTTACATTTAAGAATGAAAAAGTGCTGCATATTTTGCCCCTCACCAGGTTTTAAAAAAACATTCATTTTACAATTTTTAAGGACTACAACCAAATGAAATTTCAATACAGACACATGAAAAAAAAAATAGTATTTTCAGCAATCAAAAACATATATAAGCTTTTCCAATTTAGGCGTGACATTAATTTTTTTATTCATGATTCAGGCATGGAGTCTATGGAAACAGTGTAGAGCTTTAGAAATGGTTGACTCTAACATAGAGGACTCTTGTATTCTATCAGAGGTATTGCGTTGCATCCATATCAGTCTCTTATGTGTCCAGCAACATGCAGAGGATAGGCCTGCCATGCCTTCTGTGGTATTAATGTTGGGTAGTGAGAGTGAATTGGCAGAGCCAAAAGAACCTGGTTTCTATGTAAAGAATGATGACGGTGCCACAACTTCCATCTCAGGCCAAACTGATATAATCTCAACCAATGAAGTAACTATCACTTTATTAGAAGCCAGATGAAAATTGATTAAATTAAAACCAAATTACTACATTGGTCATGTGAGTACATAATACCCAAGAAACTTTCAATTATAGACCGAACAAACTGATATGTAACCTAACCAATAGTAGTTTTTCTTCTTTAATTGTTCAGGGAATGATATTGTACAAAAGAGGATACAGAGAGGATTGTTCTATAAGAAGTAGTAACAACAATGATGAAAAGTCGGCACGAAATGCCATGTTCTTATTCTTATCATTTCATTAGTTGCAACATCATTGTATCATTGAATTTTGAAAGAAAAAATAATGTATTGTTATTATTTTTCTCCTTCTATTTCTTTCTAGTCAGTTGTCCAAAGAGAATATTATTTATGTTTATTCTCTCAATATCTCAGTTCATGGGTTAAGGTTTGTTCCAACCATTAAGTCCGTGGTCCAACAAGTGTCAAAGCAGAAAATAAAGTGGTAACTCTAATTATGTCAACCCTGATAATGTCAACTGGTGATTCTGTGAACAAGGTTAAACAAAAGTTTTTAGAAGTATAAAGGTAGAAAATAAATAAATCCAGTTTTCAACAATTCAGAAATGTTGATCCAAAACCAATTAGGGAAACCCAAATTCCTGCACACAATTGAACAAAGCAAAATACAGAAAGACAAACTGTTGGTTCTTGCCTCCCTTAACTTTAAGATGAACATATAGCAATGCCCAAGCCTTTCCCTCTTTGCTTTCACACAAACCCTTGATCCCATTTTCTCTTGTTTCCCTCTAGCTGTTGCAGGTTAAATAATAAGAAAGCAACTCTCCATTTTTTCACACAAAATAGATTGGGGCCAGAACAGATTTTAGAGGCATCCTTCACAACAATTTTCACATGTATTATGAACTAGAGTGTCAAATTTGAAAACACACGTTAGCAATTCTTCCTGGTATTTGCTTTCAATAAATACCCTTGGATAATAAATTTCATGGCCTCACTAAATATATGAGGAGTTATAATTACATCGGTGTAACTTTTACTAAGTATTACACCACTCAATAACTTTATATTAAATGTAAATTTTGAAAATTCAACCATTAGATTGAAAGTTCATATCTCTTAGATCATATATATCAAATTTTATATTAATTTAAGATGATTTGATACTTTATTCTCATAACACAAAATTGATGTAATATATATATATTTTAAAATATACTAAAATATGAATACTTTAATTACCTTCAAGTTGTTGTTCAATTTTAACAAAATTTGATATATATGATCTAAGAGATATGAACTTTCAATCTAACGGTTGAATTTTTAAAATTAAAATTTAATATAAAGTTATTGAGCAGTGTAACACTTAGTAAAAGTTACACCTAGGGATGGCAATGGGGCCCCATGGGGGCGGGTAATAGTAAACCCGACCTCGCCCTGCTAAATGGAAATTGGCCTCATACTCACCCCATATCCGCGCGGATATCTATTAAGCGGGTATCCATGAATTTCTTGAATATTCACGGATATCCATGAATATTTATAAAAATTTTAAGAAATTAAAAAAATTATATTACAAATAATTTTAAGTTTATATTTTAATGTCATTGAAATATTAAAAATAAAAATTAAATGTAAATTTTGAACTTTTATTTAACGTTAATTTTGTTGAAATAATAATAAAAATTCAAGATAATCAATAACTTAAAATACATCAATCTCACAAGTAAGTTAAAGTCTCATCACAAAGCTACAATAATTCAATCTCATAATTCTAAATGAAAGTAAATAACTTAAAATACATAAATCTTATTGGTTCAATCAAAGCTAGAAAATTAATTAAATTAAATCCAACATAATTCTATAACATGCTTAACACATGTCGGTAACTTCATCAACCTCATTTTTGTAAGAAAATAATATGAGAGAGTGTAGTTTTAGGGTTATGTGGTACAAGGATAATTAGGATATTTAAGAAATAATATTAAACGGTTACCCGCGGGTATGGATATCATCATACCCACCCCCACCCCATTTATAAACAGGTAAAAAATTATCCGTCCCCATTATCCGCGGGTATCCAATTAGCTTATCTATTTATTATCCGTAGCGGGTTTTATCCACAGATACCCGCGGGTGTGTGTTTTTTTGCCATCCCTAGTTACATCGGTGTCATTTAAATCAAGACTTGTTCTTGAAATTAGTGAATCTCTCATTTTATATATATATATATATATATATATATAATATGTATAAGTAACAATTGTTGAATTTATTTATATAAAAAAGACTTATTAAAATTATATTAATTATACAAATTATTTTTAAATTAATATTTGTATATGATATAATCGGAAGATATTAGAATACTTGAAAAAAAAATATTACATCAAATTATAAAAAATAATAATTGTAAAATATTTGCGAACTTATGCGTAAAAGAAGTCTCATCATAAATATTGACCATTCACTTTTTTCTCTTAAAGATATCTTGCTATTTAAAATAATTGATTCACATGTGACTTCACAAAATTACCCGTGTTTACTTGTAACAGTCTACAGAAGTCATTGACTACTAATTATATAAAATATCATTTTCCACAAAAACTTGGTCAAGTCATCAAACATGATTGTGAAAAAAAAAACATAAAAAATTATTGACATCAACGTCTCCTTCCTCTCTTTATTAAGAAATCATAAACACTCTGTATCCATTAAATATCTCCATTAAATACACACAAATTAATGAAAAATGTGTGTAATTATAGTTAGTTTCCATGATAAAATATTTTATACAAAAATACTTTTCTAATATAATAAAAATTGGATATACATATATACAAGTAACTAATTAATATACTAAAGTTTTGAATAAATTTAGATTTAATCATTTTAAATAAAATAAAAATACCTAAGTAAATATTAGTGAATCTCTTTAATTTATTGCATATATATATATATATATATATATACTTTTTAAATATCAATAGACAAGACTAAAAATGTATTAATATTAGTGTAATTACATTTTTAATATAAAAAGTGTACTATATTATTTATATTTCATTTAGAATTAATATTTCATATGAAATAACTAATCTTTTATAAAAATAAATAAAATACAATTAATTAACTTATTCAATTGAGAATGAATTGTATAAACATATAATAAAAAATAGATACACATATATACAGTTAACTAATATAATAAAGTTTCGAATAAATTTAGATTTAATCATTTTGAATAAAGTTTCAAAGTTAAATTTTGTGAAAATAAAAATCTAAAAGGTGGTAAAAATTTTGCTATAATCGTAATGTTTCATTTAAAATTAATCTTTGATAAAAAAAAATATTAAATTTTTATGTAAAAATTAATTTATCTAGCGTTTTGGAGAGGTCCCGCCCGCACACTTCCACTCTTTCTCAGTTCTCCTTCTTTTGTATTTGGGAGAAGTCCGTACCCCACATTCTTTCTCCTTTCTTCACTCTCTAGGGTTTCGCTCTCATTGTCTTCACACTGTAGCCACCTCACGCTAGTGCGCACCGTCGGTCACGCACTGTCGCCGCCTCACGTTGCCACACTGCCAACTGCTTTTGCAATAGTAATTTAATTATATCCATTTCCTAATTGGTCGAAGTTGTGGCACTCTGTTGGTCTAATTGTAAGCCTTTTTAATTAGTTTTTGAAGTTCAATAATACGTATGATTTTCAAATGTTTTATATTATGCATGGGAATTCTATATTCTTGAATTTTTCCTTTCTTATATCCAGGATCACTACTCTTTTTTATGCACACATAGGTAGTTCCTACTTCTTACCCATGTATTTTTGTTCGGCATATTGCTAGTTATTGTGGCACCCTTTATCCCAATATATATATAAAAACATATTCTTGGTTTAAATAAAATCTTTATAATTAAAACAATAAATCCATTAACATAAGAGTAAAGAATCCACATTCGTATACTTCAAACATGGTCAAATGTGAAATTTATAGCAAAATGAATATTTTCCAAAACAGAATAATAATTAGAAAATCCTAAACTAATCTAGTTATGCCCCAATATCACATATCTTATTAGAGTATGCCCAACTGAAGCTTAAGCCTCGTCACCAACATCCTCGTGATAATCATCTACAACACAATTTAAACATATACAAAGAAACAACAAGGGAGTGAAAAATATTTCACTCGGTTCCAGGTGTAGAAATAACAGTTAGGCAACACACACACGAATCATAACAATCACAGTCATAGCTACACATTATTTAGTGTAAATTTAAATTATACATACAATAGTAACACATGCACAGTCATTCATCATGCAATGATCTGATAGACTTGACTCATAAATGCATGTGGTGCCAGTCACGTGTCTCATAATCACATTTCTCATCATTTCATCACTGGTGACCAGAGGTACACCTTGTTAGCTTGTTACATCACTTGGTGACCCAAGGTACACCTAGTTAGCTTGGTACATCACTTGGTGACACAAGGTACACCTGGTTAGCTTGTTACATCACTTGGTGACCCAAGGATTATTATTATTATTATTATTATGAGATTCATGTAGTTTTTATAAAGGATCATAATCGACAAAAATAGGTATAGATAAATCCTTGCTTGTCTCAGCAAGTGGCCACAAAATCAATGAAATGTCAAAAGGGCAACAAAATATTCCACCCAATGTTAATATTATACACATTTTAATGTTCTTATCGATGGATAACATCATTTTTTTTCTTCTTCAAAATAACCATCTACGAACTTGGCTTCAAAGACCTAGCACAATGTATTTATGAAGAGCAGTTAAGATTAATATTTTGACAACGATGTAGAACATATTTATTGATATCCTTGCCTAGTTTTTCAACTCTACATGTGAAACCGTCCACAAAATAATTTTTTTTTTACACTTTGATTCAGTCATTTCCAAACATCTAATTCCAATATTGCGAGTGTACACACCTTCGTTGCTTGGATTACCTCTATTCATAATCATAGATACAGTCGAACAATTGTAAGTTTCTAACCTGCAAGAAAAAGTTCTATGGATATTCTTACTTTATTTATCATTGTAGCTTGTTTAGCTATCCCTTCTCTCAAAGTCTCCATAGCAGGTGATACCATAGTTCTGTCCCAGTCCATTAGTGATGGCATGACCTTGGTTTCCCACGGTGGAAAATTTGAACTTGGTTTCTTCAGTCCTTGGAACTCCAACAAACGTTACCTTGGAATTTGGTACAAGAATATCCCACAGACAGTTGTTTGGGTTGCAAACGGAGCCATCAATGATTCCTCAGGCATCTTAATGGTGAACACCACAGGCAACCTTGTCCTCAGACAGGATGACAGGGTTGTTTGGTACACAACATCTGAAAAACAAGCACAGAATCCAGTGGCGCAGCTTCTGGATTCAGGGAACCTTGTGGTTAGAGCAGAGAGTGAAACAAACTCAGAAGACTATTTGTGGCAAAGCTTTGACTACCCTTCAGATACAATACTGCCAGGGATGAAGTTGGGATGGGACCTCAAAACTGGTAGGGAACGGCGAATGACATCTTGGAAGAGTCCTAGTGATCCATCCCCTGGAGACTTTAATTGGGGTCTACTGCTCTATAACTATCCTGAGTTTTATCTGATGAACGGAAAAGAAAAGTTTGTGAGAGTTGGACCATGGAATGGCCTACATTTCAGTGGTATACCAGATCAAAAGCCAAACCCCATTTATGCTTTCAACTTCATATCCAACAAGGATGAGATATACTACACTTACAGCCTGAAGAATGATTCTGTGATCACAAGAATGGTAATGAATCAAACCTCTTTAATGTATAATCGATACGTATGGATGGAGGATGAACAAATTTGGAAGGTCTATAAATCGGGGCCAAAGGACAACTGTGACATTTATGGCATATGCGGAGCCTATGGTACTTGCGTGATTACAGGGTCCCAAATATGTCAATGCTTAGAAAAGTTCAGTCCCAAGTCACCACAAGCATGGAACTCAGCTGATTGGGGTGAAGGATGTGTACGAAATAGACCTTTAAACTGCACTGACCAGCTCAAGGATGGATTTATGAAAGTGGAAGGTGTTAAAGTGCCAGATACTACACATACTTGGGTAGATGCGACAATAGGTCTAGAAGAGTGCAGAGTCAAGTGCTTGAATAATTGTTCCTGTATGGCCTATACTAATTCAGACATAAGAGGTGCAGGTAGTGGTTGTGTCTTGTGGTTTGGTGATCTGATTGATATAAGAAAGTTTGACGGTATTGGACAGGATCTGTACATTCGAATGGATGCTTCAGAATTAGGTATAGACATCATACATGTATATACATACATACACACATTATTTGTAGTTTTATTAGTTTGTTGATTTGGTTTTGTCAAATTCAACTATGAAGGGGAGAAAGAAGGGCACAAGAAGGTGGTGATCATAATAGTTGCTGCCTCCATTGCTACAATTTTAGGGATGCTTTTTATTGGTTGTTATCGTATCTACACGACTTGGCACAACAAAACTGGTAAGCATACATTTCTCAACAAGGATGATGTTTTCTTCTATTTCTTAGTTGAATAGATAATTGCTAAGAAACTCACCAGTTAATTACATATTCGTACAAATATTATTACCCTTTAATTTATTTAATAGTGTATTCACCACCAAATTAAATATACGAAGATGAAGTAATTATTGGAAAATCAAATGTTGAGTTGGTTCACACAATCAAGTTCATTCAGGGTAAAAAAGTAGTTAACCAAACAAAATTTCTTTAAGGCTGCAAATTAAACATTGAGCATAGAAGAGTATCTAGTGTGCCATGCTATAATAGTTCTCAGATATAACATTTTTATGCTTGATGTGTCAGTTGGGGAGTTGGGATAAGTGAATCACCTAAAAGGCCTCTCAACCAATAAAAACAATTGTGTGTATATAAACTCACGTGCATCCTCTTGTTTAAACGATGTGGGACTTTGTTTGCATCCCAACATATAATAATGATTATAATTTCTTTTTCTTGCAATAATTTATCTATGTTGGTCAAAGTAAAATGTATGAACAATGTGTGAACTGCAAAGGCGAATTTTAAACATGAATCTATTCAAAGTAAAATGCAAAGATGTAATCCTGCAATTTTATTGAAATGACTAAACTATCATATACATTATGCGTTTAACTAAACTGAAGCTATTGTTTCATTTTATCAGAGTCTTCAGATAATATACGTGACGAAAATAGAGCAGGTAGTGAGGATGATCTCGATCTCCCATTAGTTGACCTTTCAACAATAATCACTGCCACTGATAACTTCTCAATAAAGAACAAGATTGGAAAAGGTGGTTTTGGACCGGTATACAAGGTGATTCAATTGATGTGTTTCTAGGAAAGAGATCTTAAAAATGTGTCAGGATTATAAAGATTACCTCAATTTATTTATTTGTTTTGTTATATAGGGAAGATTAGTAAGTGGACAAGAGATAGCTGTTAAGAGGCTTTCAAGAACCTCAGGACAAGGAATGAAAGAGTTCAAGAATGAAGTAAAACTGATAGTTAAACTTCAGCACCGGAATCTTGTTAAGCTTATTGGTTGTTGCGTTCAAGAACAAGACAGAATGCTGGTTTATGAATATATGCCTAATCGTAGCTTGGATCGATTGATTTTTGGTATGAACCTTACAGGATTGCTTATTGTGTTTACTAGCGATTTCAGTATCACCTCTAGATGTTAAAAATCTGAATTTTGCGATTTAGAATGCAAATGGGTTGAATGAATTTACTTCATAATTCATATGAAACAGATGACACTAAAAGCAAACTGCTAGATTGGCCTAAGCGTTTCAACATTATCTGTGGAATTGCTCGAGGTCTTCTTTATCTTCATCAAGATTCTAGATTAAGGATAATTCATAGAGACCTCAAAGCAAGCAATGTTTTGCTTGATGACCAACTAAATCCAAAAATATCAGATTTTGGTATTGCTAGAATTTTTGGAGGAGATCAAACTGAAGGAAATACACAAAGAGTAGTTGGAACTTAGTGAGTATTTCCTCGACATCAATTTGTGTGAGAATTTTTTGTGACACCTTTTTTAACATGTTTTGTATTTTGATGTTATGCTGCAGTGGGTACATGGCACCAGAATATGCAGCTGATGGTCTTTTTTCAATCAAATCTGATGTTTTCAGTTTTGGTATTTTGTTGCTGGAGATTATCAGTGGAAAGAGAAATAGAGGTTTTTATGTTGAAAGCCACTGTCCTAACCTTGTCACTCATGTAAGTATGTCTCAAATTTTTCAATTGCTATAAATACGTTTCTGGTCTTCAGAGAACACAACCTTTTGGTTTCAATCCTTACCTAAATTTAATTAACTTTTTATCCTTACGTTTAATAAGGAAAACAAGATAGTGCTTTTTTTCTTCCCTCATCAGGTTTTAAAAAACATAATTTTTAAGGACTAAAAACAATTAAAATTTCAATAGAGACTAACATGAAAAAGTAATATTTTGAGGAATCAAAAAAACATATTTAAGCTTTTGTAATTGAGGTTTGACATCAACTATTTTATTCCATGTTTCAGGCATGGAGTCTGTGGAAAGAGGGCAGGGCTATAGAAATGTTTGACTCAAACATTGAGGGCTCTTGTGTTCTATCAGAGGTATTGCGTTGCATCCATGTCGGTCTCTTATGTATCCAGCAACATGCAGAGGATAGGCCTGCCATGCCTTCTGTGGTTCTAATGTTGGGGAGTGAGAGTGAATTGGCTGAGCCTAAAGAACCAGGTTTCTATGTAAAGAATGATCAAGGTGCAATAACTCCCTTCTCAAGTCGAAGTGATACAGTCTCAACCAATGAAATAACAATCACTTTATTAGAAGCCAGATGAAAATTTACAAAATTAAAACCAAATTACTACATTGGTCATGTAAGTTCATACCCAAGAAATTAAACTTTCATGTATACACAAACTGATATATGAAAAATGAGTTGTTTTCTTCTTTTATTGTTCAGGGAAAGATACTGTACAAAAAGGGGTACAGAGAAGACTGTGCAATAAGAAGTAGTCAGGGTTCTAACAACAGCAGAAGATTGTGCAAAGTAACCACAACACTACGGCAACATCATATTATTCCACCTTTTTTTTTTGTCAAAAAAACTAAAGGTAGTTTCAAGTTTTAATTATCCAATCTAATAAGTGTGGTCACAGAATTTTAAGAGAGGGAGTGAAACAATTAATAATAATTAGTTGTAGTGTTAAAAAATGTATTATGCTTTGTAAAAAAGAGAATGAAGGGATTTGGAGTGAAAAATTGTGAAAAAGAAGTTTGATCGATTATTATTATTATTATAGAATTATTTGTTTGCAATTTAGAATCATAAAGTAGTAGTAACAACAATTTTCAATGATAAGAAGACCCACGAAATGTCATGTTATTATTATCATTTCATTAGTTTCAACATAATTTTGTTTCGAGTTTTGAAAGAAAAAGAATGTATTATTATTTTTCTCTTCTATATATTTTCTTCCAGACAGTTGTCCAAAAAGAAAATTGTTTATGCTCATTCTCTCAATATGTCAGTTCATGGTTTAAGGTTAAACAAAAGCTTTGGAAGTAAAAAGGGAGAAAAATAAATAAATCCAGTTATCCACAATTCAGAATTGTTGGTCCAAAATCAATTAGGAAAATCCAAATTCCTGCACACAATTGAACAAAAATGAAAAACAAACAGAGAGAAAACAGCAAAAAGTGCATAAGCAACAAATGCATAGAACCAGAATAACATGAAAAACCAGAAAACACAATTATTCAGTATAGAAAAAAAATGCAGCAGAGAGAGAGAAAGTGAGAGAAGAGAACAACACAAAATTCACCTGGCTCAGTTAATGTGACCTACATCATAGTAGGCTAGTAGCTCCACTGTTAATCAAGATACATCTTTAAGATGAACACACATCAATAATTTTCTCCCTCTAGTTCTTCCTCTTGCTGTTGCAGGTTTATTTAATATAATCTAAGGAACTCTCAATTTTTTCTCTGCCTTGTCACACTCTGTTTTCTGGTTTTTCCAATTTCCAAAGATGAGAAATCATCCAACACAGTTTGTCTCTTTTATTGCTCAAAATTTATTAAAAAATATATATAATTTAGTGAGGTTGATATTGTATTTAATAACTTTATCATAATTTTATAATTTTTAATTAATAAAAATAAATATGTTAAGAAAAATATACTTAAAAAATAGAGGTGAATAAGAGATGGGTTGGGATGAGTTTAACCTTACTATTACTTGACTCAAAAGATTAAATAGGTTATTTATTTAAACTTGAATTTTGTCCAATCAAATCTCAAAATATATGCGAGAGAACCGAGTCAATTTAATATTTTAACTCAATATTAAAATATAAAATAAAATAGATATAAAAGTTAAATTAATGTATATTTTCTAATATATATGAATAATGTCTTTATAAGTATTAACTATTAAAAAATTATTATTAATATACAATTACATAATTATTTTAAAATTTTATACATTTTAAAATAATGAATGACAACTTAAAATATAACTCGAACTCATCCTAAAAATTATATTAAATCTAATTTTAAGATATGAATTTGTTCAAATTAAAATAAATAAATAAAAGTTTGATCTATAAACAGATTAATTTTTACTCAGGCTTATTAGAACTATGTTGCTAGCATTATTTTTCTAAGATAAAAGACAAAACAAAAAAGACTAATAGTCACTCATCTCCGTTAAATGTATTGCTTTGCAGAAAAGAAAAAACAATTGTTGTAAATAGCAATTGTCCCCTATTAAAACTAAAGCCTAGAGCATCAGAAAGCCCAAAACAAATTGGGCCCAAAAGCAGATTTGAGAGACATCTCTCCACCTAAAACAATAAAAGAAAGGAAGAGACTTGTGGAATTACGTTTCAACAAAATTGATCAAGGTTGGAACCTTGATGTAGGAAGAGATTTGTGAAGTTATCATCAGATTGTCTTTTGAAGCAATGTTCTCAATATAAACCTTTTTTAAATTCCACAACATCTCTAATGAAATGAAATATTAATACATTTGGTCCTTCCATGGTTTGCATGATTCTCAATTCATAGATCATTCATTTTAGTCAAATAGCTTCCTTGACACAATATGCAAGAGTAATTTATCGTCTTTCTCTCAATATATAAGACTTATATATATATATATATATATATAGAGGAAGCATATCAAGTGAGAGAGAATTTATTATGAGAGATGAGAGGGTTAAAATATAACCCTTAGATTATATATATAATACTCTCTTCTAAATGTTGAATGCATTAATATCTTCTTTAAAATAGTTTTATTTAATTAAGGTTTTTTTTTTATAAAACATAACAAATGCTTAAAATTAATTGGATAAAAAATGTCTCTTTAGGATTGGAGAATATAAATAGTAAAATAGACACATATATCTTTTTCTTTCAAATATTATTTAATTAGAAGAAATAATCAAATGAAAAGAGAGAAAGTTAATTTATGAGATGTTAAAGATAATTTGAAAAACTAATTTAAATTATTTACAAGTTTAGTGATCTTAATTAAATTAATTAATGTTCTTAAAGGGTGTAATTTAATTGAAAGAGTTTTTTGTTAGGGACAAAAATAGTACTTGGCTAGAATTGCAAGTAGAGTTATCACATGTTATAAGTTTGTTTGTCTTTTTGGGTGCAATAAAGGGCTAAACGCCCATACTAAAAACCTCGAAAGAAAGACAAAACAAAAAATATTTACTAACAAAGTTATCTGAATCCCAACTAGGGGATATTATTTATGACTTGGACACCCTCTAATAACCTCAAACATTTTCTGGTTAACTCATTGACTACTTGATTATTCTCTCGAACATGTCTACAACTCACAAGAGAAATCTCCTACACCATGCTAACTACTTTATTGCGAAGGGAGTAGCAAGTATGATTCATATTACACCCTTTATTCAAGAACTGAACCACAATGGTTGAATCTGACTCCACATAATGTCCTTAAGAATACTTTTATCCTTTGCAAGCTTAAACCCATAATAGATACTCTATAGATCATCTTGCATTACTTAAACACACCTAAATCTTACAAGAAAAAATCATAATAAAGGCATCATTGTGATCTCTAATGATTCCTCCACAAGTTACCCCTTGTCCAGCCACGACATCTCCATCACAATTGATTTTAATAGCACCCTCAGGAGGAAACAACATACAAAAATGTAGGGTTAGCAAGTTTAGTTGTGGAAGGGGGTCCCACAACTAAGAAGGAAGAGAAAACAAAAGTGATTCTCACAGTTCTAGCTCGCACCTGAGTGACTACTACATCAACATTAGGACTAACACTATTAAAAACAACATTATTTTGTATGTGCCAAATAATGTCCATAGTAACAACAAACATGATATACTTTTCTTTAGCTAAATTTATCTTACAGCTAACTCAACTAATCTATTGTAAAAAAATTCATTGAAAAGTCTCCCATTAACAACTTTTTTTTCCCAAATTTCCTTTGCCATCATGCAATCCCTAAGAGTGTGGATCATTGTTTCTAACTTAGTATGACAGATGAGACACATTACATCATCCATCACTCTTCTACACACACACATGTCATTTGTTAAAAGACTATTGTGGGAAAGTATGCACACACTCCAAACCTCTCCACTTTCATAAAACTTGGAACACCTTCTAGTAAGAATTGTCATTTGCAGTTATACCTATTTTGAAGAGAAAAATTTTCATCAAAAGCATTAGTCCAAACCAACACATTATTTTCAACACCAAGATATAGGAGAGGGGGACTTAGAATAGCATCACAAACATTATTAGGCAACAAATGTTTAATACTAATTAAATCCCATTCTCCTTGCTAATCAACATATTCAACCACTCTTTTATTGATTTCCTCAACAAGAACAAATTGAAGAGCTCTTGATATTATCTTAGGGATAGATGGAACAAGAGAGCATACCAAAATTTTGTTTCTCGCCCATCACTAATCCTTTAAGCTAAACCTTGTTGGAATATGTCCTAGACACTACATACTTCTTTCCATATATTAGATGAATTTGACTTCTTAGCAATAATAGGTAGCAATCCATTACCATAGTTGTACTTAGACTTGAAAATTTGAACCCATAATCTATTTTCTTGTTGATAGAGTTGCCAACAAATTTTCACCATAAAAAATGAATTCATAACTCTAAAGCTCCTCAATCCTAGGCCACCATCTAGCTTTGGAGAAAAAAGATGGCTAAGAAATTGCATGCACATGACTATGAAGCTCATCACTATCCTATAAAAACCCTCTACTCTTTTTGTCAAGCTCATCGATCACACACTTGACGGGAAAGGTAGGCATATTACATGGTGTAAGAAGGCAAAGCTGCAAATACCAATTTAGTTAAGGTAACTCTTCCAACAAATGACAAGTTTTGGAATTTCCAACTACTTAGTTTGTTATTGACTTTCTTCATAACTATATTATACATGTGTTTATTAAATCTTTATGAATATCAGAACCCCTAAATATTTAACAAGGTTCTCTATTCACTTAAAGCCAAGGGAATTGTGAATTTCATCACATCACGAACTAGCTAAGAAACATTCTTGGAAGATAATATTCTTGTTTTTATCATAACTCACCTACTATCTCAAACTCTTATAGAAAAACTTAAGGTAGGTTCAAATAAGACTAACAAAAGAGCTTGGAAGACCAATATCATGAAGTGTATTTTTCACAAAACTCCAATTTAATCTATCATAGGATTTCTCAAGATCTATCTTAATTGCCATCCAACCAATTCTACCTTTTTGTTTCTCATAGAATGGATAACACCCTAAATAATAATGATATTATCATTACTATGCCTATTTGAAATAATACTGCATTGGTTCAGACTAACAACATTATCCATGACAAACGGTGGGATATATAGTACCTTAGTAAGGACTTTGTTAGATGCATTACAAAGACTTATTGATCTCATGTACTTCTAGAAAGCTACATTATCCACTTTTAGAATTAAAGTGATGAAAGTATCATAATTGTTACAATCTTACTAGGATTCTCCTCACACTCATGAATAAGAGCACATAAAGTAAGACAAACCGTACCCTATTGAGATTAGTATAGTATGGGTTGGAACCCATCCGACCCTAGAGCCTTGAGTCCTTTGTTCATCTTATAGCTTCAAATATCTCTACATTAGTAATAGGTTTGCCCAATTCACACAAATGTTCATTCTCCAATATGAGAAAATAACTTGTGAGCTCAAAGGGAATATAAAGATTAGAAATATATATATAAGGATTAGGGTCATGAAAAAGAACCTTATAATAATGCATGACATGTTCATCGAACTCATGATTATCATGTATCCACCTTTATGTATCATCTCAAAACATTTCAACTTTATTTTTG